ACACACGCGCATACAAGCATATATACTCTGAATTCAAAACCTGCGGAGGGTCATTTGGAGACCTTGTTGCACGTAGTGCCCCAGGTCTCTGCAATCGGCCCTTCAAAAACTATTGATGGTCCTGCACAAAACTTTCACAACTATAATCAAATCTCATCTGCTGTTGTCGGGCTCTCGGTTTCCTGGGAACTGTTCTGCTTGATCCTCATACGTCGAATTCGACAGGAGAGTCCAGTATATATATATATATATATATATATATATATATATATATATATTTATAGTTGGATAGATGTGAGTTTTGACCCTGTGTTTCACGCTTTAGCGATCGTCTGAGTTTGTCTGACGATCGTAAAAGCGTGAAACCCAGGGACACAAACTCACATCTATCCAACCGAATATGTTAGCTCTATCTCTGATATTGAGCGCTTTCTAATAAGTACCGCGCATATAATATATAAATAATTATACATATATATATATTTATTTATATTTATATACACTTTTTAAATATATATATATATATAATATATATATATATATATATATATATATATATATATATATAGTTAAGTTATGAAGAATTTGGTAAAACGAATTGGTAATTCCAAGGAGGATGAAATTACACTACCCATCAATTTCTAATCACAATTTTTCCTCTCATTTCATTGTTGGAAGTGTTACTGATGATCCGAAATCCTTTAAAAAGGATTTTGGTAAAATAAATTATTGTTATGGTACCTTAAAGTGTCTGTTGTTCATTATATATATATATATATATATATATATATATATATATATATATATAGTAGTTTGAAAGAAATTCAGGTGTCAATAATAATAATAATAATAAAACAACATTCTTCCACTGGAAAAGAAGGGATGCAGAAGACATTCATATGGTTGCAAAAATCAACTACTGATGAACAAAATGATTTTGGAAAATTGCAGGAGATGATATCTAAACTAAGAAGAGCATGAAGCGGTTGTCGTAAAGCTTTTGATAGTGTGGCACACACTTAGATCCTTAAGATTTTAAAAATGTACAAGTTTCCCCTGCGATAGCAAATCTCCGTAAATTTCATTTCCCACAGCATATAAATATGGACCACCACATGTACCTAAATCCCAAAAGAAGCACTTATATTCGGCTGAAGTTATTACATAGAAACTTGATACATGTTGCTCAGTAATAATAATAAAAACAACAACAATAATAATAACAATAATAATAATAATTATAATAATAATCATCTTGATAATCTTGTATCAGGTTGCATGATACTGCCACCCACTGAATATAAAACCCAGCATGACAGATTGGACCAAAATCTGCATTGAAAATTTGCAACTTCTACGGGAAGGAAATTGAAAGAAACCAGACCCGGTTAAGGAGATAGGACCTGTAACAATTCTATGGGATTACACAATACACACTGACAGAACAATCAAATCCAACCGCCCAGATATTGATATTAGAGACCACAAACAAAAAAAATGTCTCCTTATCTTTGAAGATATTCGAAAAGCTCTCAAAATACAAAAACCATGAAATCGAAATCTCAAAAATGTGACACATGGGATCATCAACAATCCCTGTTGTAGTTGGAGCGCTAGGATTGTTTGGAAAAGATTCCAGTAGACTAATTGAAGGGATTCCTGGAAGTCCATGCCTTAAAGAGATAAAAAAAATGTTCTGACAAGTACAGTCCATACTTTACGAAAGGCTTTATCGATTTTTTTTTTGTCAGTGGAAAGTGCCATGATGCCATTGCTAACCTTAAATGTGTAAACACCAGAAATCAAAGGAAATAATAATAATAATAATAATAATAATAATATTAATAATAATAATAATAATAATAATATTGTAAAATGTCTACGATATTGACTGGGATTCCGGATTAGATAAATCTTCAAAAGTAACAATCAAGTTAGAGAGAATGACAGGAAAACACTCAAAAGATTTATATTTTGGCACCAATTTTAGGAATCTGGAGGAAGAAAAAGACGATAGGCACCTAGGAATTAGTGAAGATGATGGAATTCAGCATACACAAATGAAGAAGTAATGTAAGAAAGTGGTACTACAGGCATGTGTGTCTGTTACTGTATACCGAGCTGAATAAAGAAAAGAACGAAAAACAGAATATCAGCCATTAACATCTTGGTTGTCCCTGTGGTGCAATACACATTCAATATTCTTAACTGGTTCATAGATGACATCAAGTGAATGGAAGCAAAAACTTCTCACCTGCAACCGTATGCATCATCCCGCAACTGATGTGGATCGTTTTTATTTTCCCTGCTCCGAAGGAGTCAGATGTGATACTATTTAGGGTTGCGTGAAAAAACAAAAAAAAAAAGGGCGAGAATTAATTTAGGTGATAAGAAGCTATGACGAAAAAACACTGAGCGATGTTATTTTTTCTAACAAAGAAAAGTGCTAAAGATTTTATTTTCATTAGCGAAGAAAGTAAGATACCGGATTTAATTTGATTTATGTTACGACGCGGCGAAAGAAGATAGCAATCTGCCCATGGCAATAATGAAAATTTCAGGTTCGTCAAGTGGCCTACAAGGCAGAATGCTAAGAGATAGAAATTAATTGGGTCGCGCTCTGACCGAAAAAAATGTCCGCTGGACCACGCAAAGAGTACAAAGAAGGAAAGATTAAACCATTAACTATCTGTGGAGATATCATTTGAGAAGAGCACATGTTTTGTGTCAGAGCTGGCCATGATAGAAAAAACTATTTTATCGGAACGGATAATCGGCGATAGGGTGCGGAAGATCATTGACCAGCCTCAGTGCTTGTTTGGCGAAGGTCTCGTTGACGAGTTCCAGACGGCGTTCGGTTAAGATAAGAGTCGTAAGGGCTTGTTGTCGGGAAGAAGAAAAGAAAAAAAGAAAAAAAAGGGAAGATTATATTTTTTTCCTTTGAGCGATAATTGCAAACACCTACGCTGCTGAGCGTTCATTGGCTGAAGGGTGGCGTGAGCGGTAAGCGAAGGTAAACCATGAAGAAGGAGGGGAGGCCTGTTGACGCCCCTGAAGGGACTGGTATGAGATGCCACTGTGAGAGAGAGGAGAACCTGGTGACGCCCTCTGAGGGGATTGGTGAGAGATACCAATATGAGAAAGGAAGAATTTGGGAGGACGATTCCCTTAAACTAGAAATTACGGACTTCCGAAAATGGAAAGTAATAAATTTTCCTGACCGAAAACAAAGAAAAACCTAATTGCGGATTTAGAAGTATCAAGGAACCTCAAACTCCGACAGGCCCACAGAGTCGCGACGAGTAGACGACAGACAGGCAATACTTGAGTCAGAGAGACGTTAGTTGCAGTTTAGCTGTGAGCTCTGAGACCCGCCTCGCAGAAACCTGACTGAAAGATCCACGCAATCACGACCTCAACTTCTAACAATTTATTTTTGAAGAACGACTTAGACTCACACCACCAAAACAGGTTTTACGAATATCGCCCGAAGACACCAAAAACCAGTTTCTTGAAAAACAATTTAAGATATTAAGACTCGCAAAGTGTCACGTATCCATATTAGCGGTTTGGGAGAAAGACGCAGTCCTGTATTCCGCAACCAGATATAAAATATTGTTATCCTTTTTTAACACATTTGAACTTTTCGAGTTGTTACTTTATTTTCTTTTACATATACATTTGCGGTATTACCATTGTTCGGGCTCGACTTGCATTACGGCCCGGCGACTGATTGATTTCGTCTACCCAAGATCAAATCACAACGTTGGTAGGTGAGACTAGAAATCAAAACAGTTACTTCGGTAACCAGACGTTGGGGGCGAGCTGGGAACGACAAGGCTGATACTAAATCTAACCAGATTCCCATTCGAATCAGCAAAAGGTTAGAACGTCACATTTGGTGCCGCGACCAATACCAAGTCACATTGGTCGTCACAGGACAGGATAGGGCGGCGACGGCGCGGAGATAGACGGGGTGACGTCACAATATGATTAGTTCAAATAGAATTGTCTTTCAAGTCTACAAAATTTGGTCTTCAAAAAAGTACCTGGAAACTTGAGAAAATGGAGGATGATATATGTGAAAGAACATGAAAGTAATTTTATTCAGTAAAAAAAGGAAGCGAAAATGTTAAAAAAAATTGGAGTGAAAAAAAAATTGGGTGACGAAATACAAAAGCACAATACACCGACTTAAGCTTCAATAAACTTTTAAAAAAGAAAACAAAGGCAAATATAACCGACTAGATACAGAAACGATGGCAAGATATGCCGCTTCATAGTCAATACTCTGCCCGTACCGAGCAAGCTGATGTGGACAAAATACTTAGACACTGATGTGCACGGGTTGTTCGTTACGGGCAGATGTGGAACGTGAAGTGGTTTAACTTACCATCGTCTTATATTGCCTCCATGCCTATCAGTGGCTAAGTAGTACAGGTTTAAAAGATGAAGCCGAGGGTTTTATTCTTGCTACACAGGACCAATATTTTCTAAATAGAAATTATCAAGCACACATATCGAAAAAATATGTTAGACCAAAATGCATGTTCTGGGATAAATGCCCAGAGAAAATTAACCATCTTGTATCAAATTACACAGTATTTGTACAATCCGAATATAAAACCCGACATGATATATAGTGGGACAATATTATTATTATTATCATTATTAATAATAATAATAATAATAATAATAATAATAAAAATGGATTTATCTATGTAAAATGTGTGTGAACATTTTTTTTAAATGTTCAGTGGAGAAATATCATGCGAGGAATTCTAACTTGATGTCTGGTTGGGACCCGGAAAGTATACACTAGGAAATACAATAATAATAATAATAATAATAATAATAATAATAATAATAATATATATTTAATATTATTAGGCCTTTATACCAAATACGATCGTAATGAGAAAAGATGTTAAACATCATAATCTCCAGATAGATATGAGAAAAGGTCACATACATTTTGAATTTGAGCAACTTATCCCGTC